CTGTGATTCTATGATTCTAATTAACGCTTCCTGAAATGAGCAGGGAGACGCTGTTAAAAACTCTTAGGATTACCTCTGGGTTTTTGTGCATTGCCTGGCCTCAACTCATGTTTTCTGCCCTGGCTGACACACGCTCTGTGCAGCTGGAGTCTTGTGGGTCGAAGGATGGGGTGAAGAAGGTTATTTTTTCCCTGTACTACTTTTCTTCTCACAGGATGGAGTATTGCGAACTCACAGCCGATGTTGTGGAAGCTCTCAATCCCACTCTGCAAAGCAAGCCCACCCTGAAGGAGCTCAGCCTGAGTAACAACACGCTGGGAGATACAGCTGTGAAGCAGCTGTGCCAGGGACTGGTGGAGGCAAGCTGCAACCTACAGTTATTACAGTAAGGAAGAGCTGGTCATCTCTAACTGCAGCTAGTCCTGCTGCTAGCCATAACATCCCAAAGACAGGAAAATAGGTTGTCAGGAATACTTGGAATTTAGGGCAGGTTTTTTTTTGCTGGCTCAGATTTCTGTAACTGGAACCTTCAAGAAAATGTCTGGGGCTCTCAGTTTTGTGGTTTTTTGACCTTTTTTTTTTAGCACGGGATTCCGAGCTCAGTCTTAATGCCTCTTGGTACGGTGTGAGCATGTACCGCAGGTTAAATCAGCAGTTAAAAGGGGTGACTGCTCGCCAGTATCTGAGAGCAGAGGAGCAGTCGCCCTCCGTGGCTCTAGTTCTTTCTTATCTCTGAATTACCAGCCAGCAGAGTATATTTATTCAGATCCCTTTTTTGCTTCAAAGTGGAGACGCTGGATTTGGCCTCGTATCCGGGGTAGAGCCCTGAAGGGGTCAGGGGAGAAGCACGATTTATTTTATCTTGCCCCTGGGCTTCAGCAGGTTGCTCGGGACTCACTGTGTGTGATGCAGCCGAAAGTTTCTCTTAAAGGGACGGTCGATATAAAGGGGGTGTTTGGCAAAAATAATCCTTGGGTGAATGGGTAGGTCAGAGTATCGTGGTTTAGCCTTATCACATAGAATCACTGAGGTTGGGAAATCCCTATAAGATCACCCAGTCCAGCCGTCAGCCCATCACTGCTGTGCCCACTATGCCATGTCCTCAAGCGCCATGCCTACACGCTCCCTGAACACTCCCAGGGATGGCGACTCCCCCACTTCCCTGAGCAGCCCGTTCCAATGCCTGACCACTCTTTCATTGATCAAAGTCTGAAATACTGGTCCCTATCCAGTCTGTGTGTGCTGTGGGGGTGTTTTGGGCTGGTTGGCTGGCAGTGGGCGCACTACAGACTGCACTTAGAACCAGCCAAGTCCCTCTCAGCCTCCCTGATGTCCCACAGCCTTCTCACCGCCTCCTGCGGCTCAGGTACCTGCAGCAGGAGACCCTCTCCCCGGGCACACCTTGGGCATGCAGTTCTGCCACCTCTCCCTGCCCCAGGAGAAAGGTCTGGGCATTTCCCACAGCCTGAGGTCTGCACTGCAGCCTCTCCCTTCAGCAGCTCCGTCCGGGTGGAGGCATCAACCACTGCTGGGGTGGATGGTGCAGACCCTCCAGATGGAGCTGCAGCCTTTGCTCCCCGTCGAGTGTCCACCATTCTGCCCTGTGATCCCAGAACGATGCCCAGTCACCGCCGAGCCGTGCAGGGTCTAGCAATGCCCATCTGAGCTGCACTGGTTTGCAGCAAACAACCAGCCCATAGTCTCAGTCCGAAATGGGGGTGTTGGGGTGTATCTAAACCAGCTCCAACTGTGCTTTTTTTTGCAGCCTGGAGAACTGTGGCATAACCAGCGATAGCTGTCGGGAGATCAGCACTGTTCTCAGTAGCAAGTCGTCGCTGATAGACCTCTCCGTAGGGGATAACAAGATCGGGGACTCTGGTCTGGCTCTGCTGTGCCAGGGATTGATGCATCCTAACTGCAAAATCCAGAAGCTATGGTAAGGGTAGGCAGAGGTTAAATCCCTCTTGCAGCCCCTGAGCTGTCTATGTTGTGCTTCTGGCTTGCTCCTAAGTGGAAAGTTTCTCAGGTACCCCCCCTAGTGACAGAAGAATGTCTCTGCTCCAGATTAGTTCTCAAAACTGGGTGGAGAACACCGTGAACAAAGCACGATTGCACTGAAATCACTTGGATCAAATTCTGGTGAGAGGGTGAACTGGAATTTGTGATGGTGTTGTCTTGGCTCCCTGTTACCTTTCTACTAGACATGCATGTTCCTATTTCTTTTTTTTTTTGTGTGTGTTATAAGCAGAGCTTTTGGTGCAACGGATAGAAAGTAAGGAGAAAGCTGCGTGGTACGAAGCATGAACAGGTTTTATAAAGGATAAAAGAAAATGAGATGATGCAACCAGAAATTCATAATACTAAAATAGGACTCTGTCTTCTAATCTAAGTCATTCCTGGGGGAAAATAATATTTTGTTCTTCCCTGCAGGTTATGGGACTGTGATCTCACAAGTGCTAGCTGTAGAGATCTCTCCAGACTCATCAGTACAAAAGAGACCCTCACAGAGATCAGTCTGATAGACAATAACCTGAGAGACTCGGGGATGGAGTTACTGTGTCAGGCACTCAAGGATCCCAAGTCCAAACTCCGGGAGCTATGGTGAGCTGCTGTCAAGTTTCACATACCCACTGCCTTTTTGGAGACCTCACTGAAGAAAGGTGTAGGTGAAATAACGCCCACCAGGTAGATCCTCACTTGCGATGGTTCCACGAACAACTCATGCCAGTTGTTACCAAAGATTTAGACTTGGAGAGCTAAAGGGATTTGTATTTCTAAACTTGTGGACACTTTGAAGGTCGGCCCCATAGTCATCCTGTTACAAGCAATAGGAGACTGAGCATCACTTGCAGAGCTCCTGTCCAATGTATTTTATTGTGCCACAAATGGCAGCTGAGAGATTGGAAGTTTGAAAGGCCTCATGTAATAGCAAATGAAGTGCTGTGATCAGGTATCTCAGGTTCTCCACTAGATCCCAGCTCTCTCACTGATGAGCTGTAATGATATTAACGGTTCTCAGCATCCCCTCTGCTGACAGTGTTGCCTTTTAGGCTGGGATCATCCGGTGTCACATGGCCGGGAGAGTAAAATTGTTCTTTTGCATAGAAACGTGAAAAAGCAGCACTTGAACTTTCCTACAAGTTCCGCTTCTGCCCCCAGCTGAGTTCTTCCCCTGCCCTGGTGGCCTGGGAGTGGATGAGGTGCCTCAGGAGTGCAGGGTGGAGCTGAGAGTGACAGAGGGAGCAGCATGCTTCGTCTCTGACACTCCTGAGCTTTATGGGCAGGTGCATATCCCAGGTGCACGCTCCAAGACAGACATCCCACATAAAGAATGGGAGAGGTGCTGCTTAGAAAGCATCGAGCAGGTGGGGGTTGAGAGAAGTACAGTGAGCGTGGGAAGGCTTTGGTTCCTCTGTTCCTGCTGTCCAGGCTCCTGTGAAGCAAACGTGGAGCGAGCAATGCCTGATACTCTCCAGATCCCCCACGTAGCTCTGGTGTCACTTTTGCCTTGCAGGGTTCGGGAGTGCGGACTCACCACTGCCTGCTGCAAAGCTGTCAGCTCTGCTCTTAGCACGAACAAGCACCTGAAAGTCCTGCACATTGGCGAGAACAAGTTGGGAGATGCCGGTGTTGAACTCCTCTGCGAAGGGCTGCTGCACCCCAACTGCACCATCCAGTCCCTGTGGTAAGGTGCCCCCTCAGAAACCTTCTCTTTTGCTGTCATACCCTTCCAGGACTGGCGTGCAGAGGGAGAGGAAGCGGCAGTAGCTGGTAGCATGGGCCTTTTTGCTCACATGAGACAATTCACACCACACACTGATGTTTAACTAGTCCAGTAGCAAGGGAATGGAAGTCACATGTGCTGCCGTGTTTCCTGCCACTCGTGTTCTCTTGCAAGCACGGGCTGTCACCCCTGCGACGGTGCATTTATACCTGTCCACGGGCGCTCTCCCGGGTGCGGAACGGGAAGTTCAGCGTACCTTCAGGATCAAAAGCAAAGTGTGGGGAGGCTGGAGGGACCTTGCTTTGATCTGTGAGCAGCTTACTGCAGCAACTTCTCTGAATTTGCCCACAGGACCTCTCTCAGGTGGGACACAGGCGGAGGAGCTGCTGGTCCAGGTCTGGCATGTGAATTCCCATGCCTGCCAGCTGCAGTGCAAAGCCTGCCTGAATTCACCAGTTGCCTCCTGCTTTCCGTAGTCTCTGTGGGTGCTGGTGCAAGCCCTGCTCCGGCCTTGCGAGTAGGAGCCTGAGGCCAGCTGGAGCATCGCCTCCAACCCTGTGTTGGGACTTGCCTTTCCCATGTGGCTGTTCCCTTCCCCGGTCTGGGCTGGTGTGGCTGTGGCCTGCATGATGCTCAAGGCACCGTGCCTGTCCCCTCCACCCCATTTGACAGAAGCCCGAGCGGTGCTCCCATGCCCAGGACTCACAGTTGGTGGGTTGAGCAGATGAGTTGCAGGAGGCATCAGTAAGACGTGGAAGTCTCGGCCCAGAAGGGTTTGTTTGCTGACCAGTTAACGCTGCTTGGTTCTTAGCTGCCCTTGGGCATCAGCTGCCCTTTTGAGAGAGGTGGTTGCAAGTGTCAAGTAGTAAACTTCAGTAACAACCTGTAGCCACACACCGTTGCGCCTTAGGGAGAATTTTTGGGTGTTGAGCAGCCACCGCAAGGACAGCGGTTTCTGTGGGACACCACAGACTAACCCCTGCTGACGTCTCAGAGGTGCCAGCCTAACGGCGACCTCTGGTCTGTGCCGGGGACATCCGCACCCGAGGGTGGGCTGGACTCTGGAGCCGTTGCTCACTGCACTTGCCTCTCCATCCTCTCCCCGCAGGCTGGGTAACTGCGATCTCACAGCGGCCTGCTGCGCAACCCTCGCCGCAGTCATGGCTGCCAAGCAGTGCCTCACCGAGCTCGACCTGAGCTACAACTCTCTGGAGGATGAAGGCATCAGGAAGATCTGTGAAGCCTTGAGGAATCCCAGCTGCAACGTGCAGCAGTTAATGTGAGAGATGTTTCTGATCCTGCTTGCGTTCCCCTGGGAGGCGGTGAGCTCCAGCGAGCTGGGGAGGGGGCCACCAGCACCAGCTCTCTGGGAATCGCACCTGAGGGCAACTGGTGACCGGGAGGGGGAGTCAAACATCACCTGCATGTTGGAAAACGCTCCTTATCCCTTCCAAGTGATGTGACCACAGCAGATTGATCTGCTTTGGCCCATAGGGCTCAGAAACAAGGAGATTGTGGTGCTGGGGAGGGACTAACAGCATCCTGTGTTGTAAGGTGTGTTTCTGGCCATTGGGCTAGAGTCTCCAACCTGGACAGGGCCCCCTTCCTGTTACATGGTCTTCCCATTCTTCCCTTACTGGTGATGGGTATGTCTGTCCTTGACGGGAGAACGCTCACTAAACCAGCTTGCTTTTTTGTTTGGGTGTAGTTTGTACGACATTTTCTGGAGTTCTGAAGTGGATGATGAACTGAGAGCCCTGGAGGAGTCCAAGCCTGAAGTGAAGATCATTTCATGAGTGGTGACTGCCCGCAGCGCAAAGTCAAAGCAACGTCCTCTTCTTAGTCTGAACTTTTTCGTACATAAAGCTAATTAACTTAATAGAGAATTTTCTTGTACCAAAACCATTTGTGGATTCCCTGAGCGGATGTCGGGGGAGTTGATCCGCCTTCTGTGCCTCTGTGATGTACCAACTCCGAGGCTCGTGAAAGTGTACCTTTTCACTACTGCTTTATTATCCTTGAAATAAACAATTCTGGCATCTTCTAGAAGTTGGTCTCTACCCTTTAGGAGCTCTTTAATCCTATAATCCCTTCTAATGCATTAGTCAGGTGTAAGGAGAGCTCCTTTCCAAAGGCAGGAGGAGAACTACCTACTGTATTATTACTGGGTGGTGCTTTTGCCAGGTCTCTGGGGCTTTCCAAAAAAACAAATGTTTTTTAAATCCAAAACAGAGCTCTCCCTTGCCTTTCCCTAGAAGAGTTCTTGGAAAAGCGGTGGTGGCCAAGGCACTTGAGAAGAAAGAAATGAGCAGCTGTTGAGCTGCATGATTTCAAAATTGGCGTCCCCTGAAAAGTGATTTTCCTACAAGCAAAAGATGCTGTGTACATTTCTGCTAGTCTGGGAGACGATTAAATGGTTTGATATGCTTGCTCTGGCAAGAGTGATTCTACAGGAACTTTATCATAAAGTCTGTTTGCAAATAATTAAATGCTTCATTTTTCTCCTTATAAAAAGAAAAATAAGGGACACCTATATATGGCTCTTCAATAGGCTTTTCACATCCATGGTCTCTCCTGGACGTGGCATGCACGGGCTTATTTCAAGCTGGCTGAGAAGACAGGGATGGAGAGGGGCAAGGGTCTATATCCTTCCCACAACATCGGAAGGGTATAGACTGGTTGGAGCGAGTCCAGAGGAGGCCACGGAGATGCTCCGAGGGCTGGAGCCCCTCTGCTATGATGAAAGGCTGAGAGAGTTGGGCTTGTTCAGCCTGGAGAAGAGAAGGCTCCGGGGAGACCTTAGAGCACCTTCCAGTGAGGGCAAATGGTTGGACACACTGTACCAGTGGTTTGCAAGTACTGACTTTCTACTAGCAAGGGTTCAGCTTCACCTAGCATAGCGAAGTTTAAAGATGAAGTTAGGCAGCCAGAAGAGAAGGCTAAGAAATTCAGGTATGACAGTTTTAAGCAAATACTAGAACCTTAAAAAACATGCCCCTTCAGATCAAATGGCAGAGAACTTGAATCCAGACAGAGCAGGTTTGTATTTCAGGTCTCGATCACAGCAACAGCGGTTTAGCCTGTTAAAACTTCAGGTTTTTGCTAGTTGTTTAGGATTCTGCAATAAACTTAATTTTTCACTCAGCACAGCATACGCTCTCGAGCGGGGAGGTCACAGTGTCCCAAGTTAACCTTGCCAGGAGCAGGTAAACAAACATTACTGGCCTCGCAAACACATCACACCCCAACTAAACCTGCTGCTTGCTTTGGAAGAGCATCATGTCACGGCTGGCACCTTGCTGCCTGGGATTTTCGGGAAGGAGCTCCGGCACAGCCAGGCCGCAGGCACCAGCTCCAAAGAATACGGATGCTGACAGTCATTTCAGCGCTGCAGTTGACGCTGAAAGGGGAAACCAAGCCAGCTGTGTTTGAAGACAACCACAGCTCTTCTCTCTCTTTGAAAATAGCGCTTGCCAGCTGAGTTATTCCCAGTCCTCTACTAAAATAGCCTGAAAGGGAGTTACCTCTTGCCTGAATTCCCCTTCTGCACAGAAAGTTGTGATTTCTCATCATTTCCACCATCTCCCTTTCTGTGCGCTCAAAGTTCCTCACTCACCCCTTCATCCCCAGCACCTCTTTTATTTCACATCTTTTACCAATGGGGAAGACACACGCTGACCAAATAAAAACCCCAAAAAGCTAAGGGGAAAGTCCCTCTCCCCATAAGGCCAGAAGAGCTTTGACAAACTTCACCCATTCCCCTGCTCATGGCTGCAAACGAACCACAGACATCCTGCATTTCTCCTGGGGCACAGCATCACAGCCCCCTCCATCCTCACTTCTCCCACTCGTCTGGCACCCACACCCTAAATGCCAACCAGTCACATGCATTCCCGGGCTGGCCAGGACTCACGAACTGACAGTTTTATGAGTAGGGAGGTTAGTCTTGCCCTCTCAGCTGCATCCACCAAGGGAGGAAACGCAGCCCCGGCAGGAGGAAGCATGCCCTGGATCAGGTGCCTAGGTGGATGATAAGCCTTTCCATAGAGGGCAAATTGGTGGCCTGTGGGATTCAGGAACACGCAGCTGAGGGGACGGAAACTTTAAGCGGCCAAGGCTGTGTCACAGCCGATCTCGTCTGCAATTCAAGGCAGGTTGCAGGGGGAGAGGTGAATTGTTGGCAGTTCCTCAAGCCCTTGAAGATGTCCCAGAGCAGAGACACAAAAACAGCCCTAAGGTGAGCTGCCCTGCCGTCAAGCTGGCACGCAGCAGCCCATAATATCCACAGAGGGGCGTACAGCACCAGCACAGCTGATTGCACATGCACCTACAAGCAACTCCCAAATCCTCCAGCGCTGCTCGCTGTTCCCCACCTCACCAGTACTTATCACATCCCAAGAACCACAGCGTGTTGTCCAAAAAGAGACCCAAAAAAGCACCCTGCAAAGCCAGCACTTCCACCCTTACGTCTTTACACCGGTTGTATTGGCGTTCCCTTATCTCACACTTGGCTGAGATGCTGCCCATGGCTGGGGGGTTGGAACTAGATGATCTTTAAGGTCCCTTCCAACCCAAACCATTCCATGGGCTTGTTCAGCCTGGAGAAGAGGAGGCTCCGAGGAGACCTCATTGCAGCTTTCCAGTATCTGAAGGGGCCTACAAGGGTACTGGGAGAGGACTTTTTACAAGGGCCTGTAGTGACAGGACAAGGGGTAATGGGTACAAATTGAAATCAGGGAGGTTTAGATTAGATATCAGGAAGAAATTCTTCACAGAGAGGGTGG